TTTAAAAAAAAATATATGGGGAAATTAGTGGGTACCCATTCCCAACCCATCCCCTATGGATATTTAAAGAATATCACTTACCCTACCCAATGGATAAGAAAAAAAGGAGAAACCCATGTATTTGGGTTGGGTGTCCATGGATACCCATAGGATAGGTTATCCATTGCCATCCCTATTGATAGGGCCGTGTGAAGAATAAGGATTCATATAACTAACCCTATTTGATGGGAGTTAAGACTTGATTTGATTTGATTTGAATAGCAATCCAGTGAAAACTTCTTTTTTTTTCCGAATCTTGTCAAATTTTGGCAATACACCTCCAATGACTTGCTAGAGATGCTTTAATTAGCAACTTGTCATTTTGACACACCACGTCATCATTATCCAACTAATATTTTCATGATCCACAATTAAACAATAAAATTCCAAAAAATCTATCCAAAACAGACAAAAAAAAAAACTCTAGAAATAAAAACTAAAACCATTTTATATTTAAATTTTTTTGTTTATATTTATAAAAATTTTGAAAACTACACAGAAACTTTTTGATTTCTACTTTTATTTTCAAAAAGTTATAAACAATATACAAAATTTTGTAAATACAAAATTTTAAGTTATAAACAATGTCCGATTCTATACTGATATACATAATGCAATTGTTCATCATGGATCAAATCATTGTAAATAATTTTGATTTAATCTTAAAGTTATATCCATTCATTTGAATCAAGACAGAGGAAAGCATGCGTTTTTAAAACAGAGATTTGTACTACATCTTAAAATTTCGCAGGTTATTTTCATACACTTTCTTTTTGTTAAAATTATTTTTTATGAACTATAATATTTTACATGGTACTTTAATAACCAATATATGATGTCAAAATTCTATACAAGAACCACTTTCGTTGGTTTTAGTTTATCTATTTTTCAATTTTTGATTTTTCATATTTTATCAATTTTGGTTATTAAAGATACTGAAATTTCTTCATATTTTATAATTAAATTATACTTTTATATGAAAATCTAATATCTAACAATCTAAACAGAATTAAAAAGTAAAATATTGTTAAAAACATTATAAATTCAAACATGTATTGATTTTTTATTATTATATATATTTTTTGTTATTAGCCTGTCATGTTTTTAATTTTTTAAAATCTTAATTTTATCCTTTCAAATCTACTATATTTTCTAAAAATCATGAACAATCCTATATAAACTATCTATTCATTTTTGAAGTTGAACCCTCAAAAATCATATATCTGCTTCGAAGAATTCTATATAAAACAAATTGTCTCCCTTCTTATGAAGAACCTGCAAAGTTTTCTACTTTTTTTTTAATTTCAATTTTACCCTTTCAAATCAATTATATTTTCTAAAAATTAGGAAGAGTTCTATATAACCACCTCTTTATTTTTGAAGTTAAACAATAAAACATGATATATCTACTTTCAAAAAATTTATATCGATAATGCTAGGAATACTAAATTTTTTACCAAACAAATGACCAAATGTCTCACATGGGTGTGGGGTCTGCAATTTGTGAGACCCACACCCATATGAGACATTTGGTCATTTATTTGGTAAAAAATTTGATATCTATAGCATTTTTCATTTTATATAAACATAAACAAACCATCTCCCTTCTTATTATATATATATATATATATATATCATTTACCTATTTTTTACATTGATGATAATTGAAGAACAAAAAACAATTACTCTTTCTTATTTATTATGTTTGTTTTTATATTGATATATATAATATTTATAATTGTCTATCTTGGATCAAGTCACTATTAATAATTTTAGTAAAATCTTAAAGTTGTAAGGATTTTTTTTGAATTTAAATAGAGAAAAGCGCATACCTTTTTGGAAATAAAGATTTGTGATGCATCACAGAAATTCGCAAATTATCTTCATACACTTTTTTTTTTGTTTAAATTATATTTTATGAACAGTAATATTTTACATGATACTTTAATAACCAAGGTATGATGTCAAAATTCTAAAAAAAAATCACTTTCGTTGATTTTTTTTTTTTTTTTACATATGTTTTTCAGTTTTAATTTTTCATATTTTCTCAATTTTAGTGATTAAAAATACTGACATTTCTTCATATTTGATATTTAAATTATACTTTTACATGAAAAAGTTTATAAATTCAAGCATGTACTAATTATTATTATTATTATTTCAAAAAAATACACAATAAATTAGTTTCTAAGTGTATTTAGATTAAGTTAATCTAAATCTAAAAAGAAAATATTGTTTATTTGGTATGGGTCCTTCATCGTACAAAGATCATCCTGCAACTCAACCCACATATAGCACACTGGATTCTCAGCCATACCCTTGACCTATCTAAGTTGATTAGTTAGGAAAAACTCCTCCCTGCTCTTTTTTTTTAGTTTGCTATGGGGCATGTGAGCAACATAATCGCCTATTAAAGAGCCAGCACACCTCTTCAGCATATTTGTTTCGGGATTCCCAGTTTCTTATTCAGTTGACCTTACAGCTTCAGTGCTAGTAGTTTAGAATCCAGTTTACCTGAACGTGGTGACGAATCCATCCAAATGAATCTAAAAAGAAAGTAAAAGGGTTGTTAAAAATAAATAAAAAAAAAAAAAGTGTCAAAAGACATAAAAAAAAAAAAATCATAAAAATCAAAAAATTCAAAACAAAAGTTTGAAAAAATAAATCAAACCAAACCTTATAAACTTTTTTGTTTTTAATTCTTTCTTCACTAATCTCTAAATTTACATAAACTATTCATAAATTTCTTTCAATTTTTACGCGAATTTAATAATCTAATTAAAAAACGGTGTATACACACAAAAATATAACATTAAACATCTATATTATGACCAACTATTTAATTATGAATAATTAGCTACTCATTGTTACATGTATTATATTGTTATCTTATATATTTTAATATCTACATATATAAATATATATATACAAAAATATAAATGTAAATTTATAGATGTTACTTTATTCATACATTATTAGTCTGTAATACTATATTATCATCGAATGTTTTAATTTTCTAACATGTATCGCTTTAATAACAGTAGTTATATTTTTGCTAGGAAAAAATTACAAAGTTTTGTATTATTCTCCTATTAACTTATATTCAATACATATATACATATACGTCATACAAACAAATGTTCACAACAAATATTTTCAATAACAAATCAAAATTTTGCAAAACACCTCCATCACGACAATAATTGTACTTTTTTTTCCCTCATAGAAAAATCACATAATTGAGGAGAAATGGATTTTAAAATTCATAATAATATGATATCGCCTTAAACGAAAATTCTACTTTCTTATTTTCCTTTTTTTTTTGTTTTTATTGTGTTTTTTTTAATATTTTAAGCAAATTTTTTACTTTTCAAACTCACCTAACATAAATATACCTAGAAAATAAAAAAATTGTAAAAAAAATCTTTTAAAAATTCACGAAATACCAAAAATACAAAAAAAAAATAATACAAGAATTCAATACATTTTTTGTATTTTTATGTATTTATTAATTTTTAAAAATATTTTTTTACAATTTTTTTACTTTTTAGATACATCTAAGTAAAAGTGCATCTAAAAAAGTAAAAAAATATTTAAAATTTAAAAAATATTCACTAAAAAAAAACATGAAAACCAAAAAATTCAATTTTTAAAAAACTTAATCTAGAAAACTCAAACGAAACACACTGATTATTAAGGAAACATGAATTTTGAAATTTATAACAATATGATAACACTTCAAACTTTTACTCGTCAAATTTTTTTTATTACAAATAAAAGTGAGCAAGAAGAAAAACAAGATGGTAAAACGAAAATTATAAAAAAATCTATTGCAGCATGCTCTTCAAGTAAAGTTAGACAAGTTCAAGCAGGAATTCCTATCTATTGTGAAGTTCAAGAAAAACAATGTCCATCATGGACACATTTTAGTCAAATTACAAAAAAAAAAAATCAAATGATGCCCAAATATTATCACAGCAACTCAATGATACAAAAAATAAATACATCAAATAAAAAGTTTTCATTAATTTTTGTTATACACTAATTACTTATAGATGTCATAATAAATTATGTAACTTGACAGTTTCATAAAAATATCCCTACAAACACTTATAAGTATGGATCTATAAATATCGTGAAAATATATAAAAATATTTCACATTTTCTACATAAATGAAAATATACTAATGACTAATGTTATATTTTTCATTATGCAACATATTCGTGACACAAGAAACGAGACTCGATAACTCTTGATGTATAAAAAAAAATATTACATATTGATATTAATGCATTTTTACACCAGTAGTATGCAAATAATATATAACAGTGAATTCAATGAATTTATATTATGAGATAAACTATTAAACAAAATTGTGTAATTTTACAATCAATTTCATACTTTCAATTGTATTACAAGTACAAATTATGAAAAATTGAAGTAAAAAATTGATAGAAAAATATTTGTATAACACTATATACTTAAAAGACATGCTTATTATTTATTGTTCAAGATAAAATTGTGATCTCAACAATCGAGCTATAAATTAATATTTATGTCTATAAAATTTCTTATCTATCATTTAAATTCTTCAGCCGAATATGTATTCATTTCTTACTTAGTTATATATTAAAAACAGATCAATTTACCTATATAAATCTTCGTACTTTGTATACTTATCACATATTAATTTAACGCATAATTACAGTATTAACCATTGATAAAAAATCACGTGTCACATGCAATGCACGTGTCCAACCACCAGTAAAAAATAAAAATGCAAACCACCCAGCTTTTTTGTTGTGCCAACTTTTAAGCCCTCCCAAAAGAACCTGACACATTTTTTTATTTTTAATTTTACAAATTATTAAAAACTACACCAAATAAATTTACAATTTTTTTATATATATTTTTATCTAATAATCATAAAAACTAACTCATACCAAACAAACGGGCCCAATTTACAATTTGCATTTTACTTAAAAATTGATATTAATTTATGCCGCTAATTCAGGGAGAATTCAAGACTCAAATGTAATCTCAACCATTGAAAAAAAGGGAAGAAAAAAAAACTAGAACTTATTTGTATGTCCTTCATCACAAAATCCAAAACAAATCAATCCCTTACCAATCCCTTACCAATTTCAAAATGACTTTTTTCCCGCTATTGTGTTTGCTCTCAACTTCTCAATTCAAGGACTGCAGAGGTTCTTTAGGTCCTCCTCCTTGGCATACCAGCTTGGTATTATCTTTGAAATATGGGGATAAAGATCCTTGTATGAATTCCTGATTGTCCCTTCTGCAACTCCGGTTGCAATTGAAACATCTGCATCGACACCGCTATACATCTAAATTCATGCATATATGCATAATTGAATAACTAATATCTCAAATTAGCAGTATGACAAGTCTTAATAGGTATTTTTTAGTCTGAAGATATTTAACTTCGTTTATTTCGGTCAAAAACATTTTCTATGAAAAGCTTCATAAAATATTTCCCGGAAAAAATCTTTTCCCATGTTTTGATTGACTCCTTGAAACTAATGTACTAATGATTGCATTAGTGGCGGTGGGGGGTGGCAATGGCAGGGAAGAAATGGTGAGGTGATGGTGGTTGAAATGGTAGCGGAGGTGGGGGCTGTAGTGGTGGAGGTGGTGGGTGGCGGTGGCGTGGCATTGGTAGGACTTGCAGTCCTAAAAATGTTTTCCACTTTTGTTGATTACAGACAGAAAGTTTTTCGTTGATTTTCATTTTCCTTGCACCAAATGTAAGAAAATAAAGAAAACATTTCCAAAAAATGCTTTGAAAATGTTTTTCGCCCAAACAAACGAAACATTATTGTAGGCGAGAGAAAAAGGATGAGATTCTATTTTCTAAACCTACTACATAAGCGTGTGCATTTTCTTACAGAAAAAGTTTTTCGTTGACTTTCATTTTCCTTGCACCAAATGTAAGAAAATAAAGAAAACATTTCCAAAAAATGCTTTGAAAATGTTTTTCGCCCAAACAAACGAAACATTATTGTAGGCGAGAGAAAAAGGATGAGATTCTATTTTCTAGACCTACTACATAAGCATGTTCATTTTCTTAAAAGAAAAAAGAATTAGACAAAAATTTCAACAATAAAATGGTCCAAATTAGTAAGAAAAAATAATGCATTTTGGCATTAAAAATATTCCCCAAAAAAAAGACTTAGGGAAAAAATTTCAACAATAACATGGTCGCAATTAGTAAGAGAAAATAAAGCATGTTGGCATTAAAAATATTCCATAGTAGAGTCTGCAATCGATTCAGATATGATTTGTAGAACCCCTCAAATTCAACTCTGAGGTTCTTATGAATGCCTTAATCAATGACTCACACATGCTTACCTTTGAGGGGCTTCTTATCATCCGAAAGCTGTGTTACAATGTAAATGACGGCAGCTGCAATTGATATAGGGCTCCTCCTGCAAGTAACAAGATTGCAACAAATTTAAAAGCAGTGAAGATTTTCTATTCGAAATTGGATATAAAATCCAGAGATTTAGCTTCACTTAAATGTGAGCTTGTTTTTGATGAATAAGAGGTAAATTTATTAGAGAAGGATCAAAAATAATATCAAAATTAAAAACTTCATTTTATCAGAAAAGAGTTTCACAACAAAAACACGAGAAGATTTTTCTCTTCTTCTCCCCACCCACACCCATTTGTTCTTCTGGGTTCTTAGAATTAAAAAGACTATCTATCCAAATGCCATCCAACAACCCATTTCCGAGGTGCAAACTACATACAACTATGTGCTCAAGTCCCACCAACCAAGGAAATGGGAAAGAGCTGATCTAATGCAACAATGTAGACATATCATTCAAGTTCTATCAATACATGCAATCTTACAATTGATTCAGTCTCCGCATGAAACACGACAACATAAGAGAAAAACCAGGACTACCTTATATCAAACTCTTCCGACTTCTGGACAGCTTCTTGGGCGGCTTTAACTACTTGATTGTTCATACCAAGATTTGAACAAAAGCGTCTCTGAAGATGTTATTAAGATTTCATGTCAGTGGCAGAATTGCAAGAAACAATAAAGATCATATGGTAAAGTCTGAAAAGACTGCTAATAAGAGCCATAAGAAAGTTAATAAAGTGCTCAATTTCACAAAATACTTACCATAAAATCCCCAGCATGTATAGTACCCATCTCCACTGATTGACCCATCTCAAGCTCTAGCTGTTTCACTATGTATTCTTTTGCTCGGCCAATTTCCTTCTTTGTCGCTCCATTGGCAACAGAGCAGATTTCTATTTGAAATCCAGAGGTTCAGGCAAAGCACAGAGAGATAAAATCAGGAAGCATTCAGATGTTAAAAAAATCTTAGGCTGTACCCTTAACAGTGCGTGGCTTGTCTTCTTGCCGACAAGCTATGTACAGGCAAGCAGCCAAAATTGCGTCCTGGTTTCTTCCTCTACTAGATTTTTGATCTTCTACCTTCTTGAATATCTCATTGGCTCGATCCTTCAGAAAAGATCACAGAACACCATCACAAAAAAAAACATTGAATCTAGAAAGGAAAGAAAAAAGAGTGGCAGAGTAAGAATCTTGGGGAGGCATATGGAGCAAAAGTTTGTTCGTCAAGGCACAGTAACAAATGATTGGCAAAATTCCACGAGAAAGAAAGAAGAAAGTTAACACAACAACCTTCAAGTTAAAAAGAATCACCATCAAGAAAATGCATAATCATGGTAGTATTAGAATGCAAAATTGTCAGAAGGCCAAAACATAAACAAGCTATCTAACTAATGACATCTCAAACCTCACTTGGAATCAGTATGTTTCAGATTTTGGCCATACATATAAAGAAAATATCTCATTTTTCCTAGGTATTATTACAAATTATCAGGAGAATAACTAAATACATAAATAGATATAATACAAGGCCACCTACCCATGCTCGTGTATAGAAAAGGAAAAAGTCAAGAGTTCATGCATACTGAGGCACTGATATGCATGTATATTTCCCAACATGCCCTGCCCCATGCACATATGGGCATGTTGGGCTATTGTATAGTATAAAAGGAGAATAAATAAATGAATTAATAGATATAATACAAGGCCACCCACCCATACCCAAGCCATGTATATAAAAGGAAAAAGTCAAGAGATCATGCATACAGAGGCACTGATATTCATGTGCCTGTCCCACCCCGCCTTGCCCCGGCCTAGAAAAGGAAGAAGTCAAGAGATCATGCATACAGAGACTGATATTCATGCGCCTGTTCCACCCCACCCTGTTCTGGCCCACCCCACGCACATAGGGGCACGTTGGGTTATTGTTTGGTGGGTCTGTTGAAGCTCAAATTCCAAAAGCACACATGAAGGCAACCAATTGTGGCAGCACCATCCATGCATAGTATTCTATAACAACACGGGGAAGAGAAAAAACAATAAATTAGACGCATGCCCCATTCTAATTGGAGATTCTCAAACATTCCCGGTGTCATGAGTTCACTCTTTACACAGCAGAAATACCTAGAAACCACCAAGTCAAGCCATTCATAATCATCTGAGTCTTTCAAATACCCCTCCTTGTCAATTTTTAAACCCACAAGCTTTACCTACAAGAACGACTCTCCAAAGGAAGTCCAGAATATCAAATGCCACCCATAGACATGCGCTTGTGCAATACGCATATACACAGAGTCCACTGGATGCTTCACTGTACCAAACTTGCTCATAAGCAAGGCACGTATCCCATCACAAGGTTTCATCATCATCAAGGCTCCCAGCCACACTACTGTACACATTATTGCGGACCACAATGCTACCCACTACTAAGGCATCTGCACATGTCATAGCATTCACAACTTGTTTACCACAAATCCAAAAGCTGCTGAGCCATGTGCTAACAAGAAGTAGATCCAGAGATTTCTCTGCATGATATGTATCTTCAAACTAGGGGAAAATACCTCCCACATTGCCGACAAGCGCATACTGCATAACAGGTCCTCATTGCACACCTCGAGGAGTCAAAGGGTCGCTCTTACCCCACAATAGCACCAAGGGAGGGTCACTTTGTTAGGATTAGTCCACCCATGTCATAAAGGTGGGTCCAATACAGTTATTGGGTCGGTTTCTATATGTATTTGGGTTTAGGATAGTAAAATCCAAAATCTACTGGCAACCTAATATATGTAGAATTTGGTTACCTAATTGTATGGAACTAAGAATCTCATGGATAGACTATTATAAATAATTATGTGGACTACAGGATTTTCTTAGAGAGATTGAGGTGAGGGAAAAAATAGAGATGTAAGGGATGAGAGAACAAAATACCGTGAGGGCATCGGGGAGAGCAATGACTCAACTACCCTTGAACATAGGGTTCGGGTAGTGGTGTGGGTTTTAAATGTTTTGGCCATCTCACACGTATTCTCTATTTCATTCATAGCGGAAGCTCTCTCTCTCTCGTGGATGTAGGCAATTTGGGCTGAACCACGTAAAACTGTGTGATTGTTTTTTCTCTTTCGTGTGTGCGTGTGGATGTACTTCCATTTGCGTTAGTGGGATGTGGTATAAATCCCAACAAGTGATATCAGATCTTATGATTGTTGATCTTGGGTGCGGTTACTGTAGCGAAGGACTTGCACAAAAGAGAAAAAAATCTTGATGTTACAAAAGAAAAAAAAAATCAAATCAAATCAAATGAAGGTAGCGCGGTGGAGGCATTGATTAATTGAAAAACAATGCACAATTAAGGGTTTGGTTTTGTGGCTTTGACTTGTCAAAAGGTTATAATCATGTGTGACAAAAATCATAAAATCTAACGGTTTAGAATTTTTCTGTTATATCGGTGTGTATATATATCGGTGTGTATATATAAGAAGAAAATTCAAGGTGAAGGTAGTTTCTAAGGTTTTCAGTCGTTGCAGATTCATCGGTACAGTTAAAATTTTCAGATTTTGAACAGGTTTAAAGGGATTGGACAGGTTCAAGGGTCAAAGGTAATTACATGTGATCAAAGGTGATCTAGGAGTAACTGATTCAATCAACGAGGAAGTCGAATCACTACGGGTTCAATTAGACAATGTTTGTTTGATTGCACATCAAGATTGGCAAATTGTATAGGCTCCTGGAGTATGTTGTGACAAGAGGGAAGCTATTGTCAAGCATCAAGCAAGTAGTATGAATTGTGGCTGAACAGTGGCAAGCAACAGTTGCAAGGATATTTGGTGGCCACTAAGAGGACGATAACGAGTTGCAGATTGTTCACAGAAAGGAAGCTTCTAGCATAGAAATTGAGACAAAGGTTGTGACAAGGTGTACACCAATGGCGGACACGGGGTTTCTTTTTTACGAAGGTTTTGGTTGGTGGCAGTGGAGACACCTTAGTGAGGTGCAGAGGTTCTCATGGGCTTGAGTATGAGGATAGAGGAATCTATGAAAAACACGTTGGAGCACTATTGTGCGAGGTGCAAATAGCGTGGGTACTTGGTTCGAGGGATGCAACATCTTCTAGGTGAAAGTGGAGTGTTCACACAAACTAGGACATCTAGGTTGAAGGATAGCACATAATATTTACCCCACGTGGGTGAAGGGAGTGATTGTTAGAATTAATCCACCCATATGATAAAGGTGGATCCCATACAACTATTAGGTTGGTTTTGGATTTAGATAGAAGAATTCAGAATCTACAAAGAAACTTCATATATGTAGAATTTGGTTACCTAATTGTATGAAGCTAAAATTCTCATGGATAGACTATTATAAATAGACATGTGGACTATAGGATTTCTTATAGAGATTGAGAGATTGAGGTGAGCGAAAAAATAGAGATGTAAAGGGGTAAGAAAAAAATTGTGAAAACACCAGGATGAGCAAGGGCACAACTATGCTCGAGTATGAGTTCGGGTAGTGGTGTAAGTTTTAAGTGTTTTGGCCATCTCACATGTATTCTCTATTTTATTCATAATGGAAACTCTCTCTCCCGTGGATGTAAACAATTTGGGCCAAACCACGTAAATCTGTGTGATTGTTTTTTCTCTTTGGTGTGTCTTTGGATGTGCTTCCGTTTGTGTTGGTGGGATGGGATATAAATTCCAACACACTTGTGCGTACATAACACAATTTTCATACACATACAAATGCCACCAACCATTTTAGATCATTGTGTGCCCATAGCATTACACTAAATCCATATGGTATGTCTCAGTGTGTATTTTTCTAAAATGTGCCAGTTAGTAACAGGTAAAATTTTGATAGGTAAGGGTAACTGAAAAGAGACAGTAAGAAGTAACTGACTGAAAATAATAAGAAATGCAAAGAGGAAAGAGATGGACCGACAGCACGCATACTGCATAACATATTTTAACATGAATGCACTGTTGCCGACAAGATTTAAAGACACTGTTATCCTTCCAATTATTTTGTCCTCTAAATTGCTGTTGATATGTTCAGAGTTCCGTCGTAAAGCTATATACAATGAAACTTCTCTGACATGTATCAATTGTAATTTGTAACAACCATCAATCACGTCATAAAAACCTCAAGTGACCCAATTAACTCAAAAAGTCTGAAATATCAGTTCTTTTAACATCATCCTGTTCACAAACGTTTAGGCCAACCTATATGCTCAATTATCAAACAGCAACTGTAATTATTTTTAATATCTTCAATCTCATAACTACTTCGGCCCAATTTCTATTCTAAATACCAATGGACATCTTTTTCTTTTTCTATTTTCAGGGTAAGGATTTTATTAACACACAAGAAGAGCAACAGAACTAAACTAGGAATGACAATGGGGCAGGTAGAGTGCGTTTGACCCTCCCCCTCCCTGATCCCTGATTTTTATTTTTTCCCACATCTCCATTCCCAATCCCCAATGAAGACCATTTTCATACTACCACCCCTGCCCCTACTGGGGATCGGTTTTCCCCGCCCCATTTGCTTTGGTTTCATTGCTTTGCTTTAGGTTCATATCTCCATAATAAATAAACAAAACAAAAACAAAAAATTCAGAATAGAAAAAAGTGAGTGAAAGGGACAAATTGATTAAGGTTGTGTTTGGTTCATAGATTTGGGGACAGATCATATACATTTTATTTTTTCCTTTTCAAATCTCTCTCCAAATTCATAAACCAAACATAGCCTAAAAATTTTCAAATTATTGAAAGGATTTCATACTAAGAAAACATAAATTGAAAATGAACTAAAAATTGTGTAGATCATTCCAAAGAACATTCTACTTTTACCCCAAGAATAAATTGATTTAATAAAAATATTTTTTATACCACCACACCTGCCCCTAACGGTGTTCGGTTTTCCCTATATAGCAAATCCCTGCCCCATTCCCTTAGTCCACCAAAAATGTTATACTGCTTCTGTTTGGGGGGAAAAAATTAAGAAAAGAAGTAAGAAGGAAAGAAGAAATCAATTAAAAGAAATAACTTTAAAATTATTGAAAAGAGAACAAAAATTAAAAATTAACAAAAAATTGTATTGATCATACTAGATGA